CCCCAAAACCCCAAAACCCCAAAACCCCTAAATTATCACAAGGGATTGATGAAAAAGATTAGTAAATTAAGGTTTAGAGTAACAAAATATATCATTAAATAACTCTTGGGTCGATAAGCCAGTGATATCCCTTGAGAAGACCTGTTTACAATGGCCATGGGATTCTCTCACTATATTTCAAGGAGATATTGACTTCTTCACTTTAAGTTTCAGACAGGTGTTAAATCCTGTCTGATTCATGCTCTTGATTACCCTCGATTTTTTATGTTGAGATTTTATCTTTTTCAAGTATTTTCTAAAATTCATATTTCCTTGTTGTTTTCTCATTCTCGAAAGATTCTTAAATTCCTTTATTATAGGCTTGCTTTTCCCTCTTTTGTGGACTATTGGAATGTTTGCTTCGCTGAATGACTTTTGTAAAGAATTGATATTCTCTGCGCTCTTCCTTGGCACCTTTTCTGTTTGTTGAACTATAATTAAGACATTAAGAGATACTATTAGCTTCTTTCTGAGTAGCCTTAGCACAAGTACTTGGTCTCTTCTGAATTTTCGGACTCATAAATACTTGTAGTCAGTCATCAGCCTATAAAATGTTCATTTAAATAGTACTTTTTCGCCTGTTTCTGGATTCTTCAAGATATTTAAATTAATTTGTGCTTCTCTTTTGTTCTTATTTCATCACTATTTTCAGTAAGATTGGTCCATACTCATATTTTTAATTGGAATCTGTTTCCAGATTTCGCATCTATCTTTCCTAGAGTAAAACTCTGTCTGGAACAATTTATTGTGCAGATCCTAAAGAATTAAGTTCTTAATATGATTAAGTAAGGTCTGGCCAGTAAGTTATTTTAGAAATTTTCTTCCAAAATATGCACCTACTCTGCTATTTTGAGGTATTCTTAAGGTTCCTCTTGAGTATTTTGTTGTTAAAAGTTCCAGTCACGTTTGGAGAGAACATTCGAATCTTGGAAACATTTCCAAGTAAGGATGGAGGTTCTATTTTGTAAGATAGAGACCCTTACCTTTGGTCACAATCCTCTTGACATTGAGTGAGTTCTTACTCATCTGCTGCTGGATATCATCCTCATCAGTTGTGTTCTTAGGGACTAATATTGTATTTTGATGAATCTCCTTATTCCTTTTGAATAAATTAAAAGTGAAATAATTGTTAAAGAAAAACTGACTGCAGAATAAGTCTACCATTCATGGTTTTCTTATTCTTTTTGCCATTATACTCTGTAAGTACCTTAAACCATTTCTCTGTAGAGCTCTAGCAGCCTGCTGAGGGTTGTTGGTCAGATTTTGAGGAGATACTATCTTTGCTTTCTTTCGACAGGAGAGGTAGTTTCTATCTCGATTTATATTTTCTACATTGGGATTTGATAGCTTACTTTGTAGGCTTTAGCAGGAGAGAAGACAAATTTCAATTTATTGTCTAATATTCTTAAGTCTATTTGATCTGGATTGCTACCTATTGATCACAAAAGACAGTATACCTTGCAGTAAGAGCTTCAGACCCCCTAAATGTCTATTCTTTCGTGAACTTCTCTTAAACGAGAGCTTATTCATCTCTTCATCTTTGAGATAATTTTGAAACATTTTCAATATTATTACTATATTTCGGGGTTTTGGGGTTTTGGGGTTTTGGGGTTTTGGGG